GAGCAAGGCCAAGTACTATCTGGATGATACACAAATGGTAATCAACATGCTTGAAGGGTTGGCCTCAGCTTCAGATAAGTCAAAGGATGGTGAACAACAGAGCAAGTTTACATTTCAACAGGGGCATTGTCGAAACGAAATCATAGATCTTTGAAAAGGGGTTTGTTTTTAGATTTCTATGTTGTGATATTAAAAGAAAAAAGATGGTAGGATTTGGTATCATGAAGGGGTTCTAGGGTTTGTTATAATGCCTTTGTACAGAGTATCTTAAACTCGTCAATTTGGGTGGCTTTGTCCCCTCCCCTATATGTGAGATGCTTATACATAGAAAAGGAAATAGATATGCTATGAATTCATTTCAGTTTTGCTTTTTAGATTCAGAGAATGTGTCAGACGAAGAGAGCATTGATGACAATTGTGAGAGCAATTACATGTACTAATCCAAGTCAAAACCTTTGTTACATAGTACTCTTTAAACAGTAAAATCTGAGTTGATATGTAAAATAGCAGGCCCCAGTTCATGGATCATACTTGTCAAGTTCGTAAAACTCAGTATTGTACTTTTACGAGATGATCTCACCTTGAACCTTTCTTGCAGTATCTGTCGCACACCGTACAAGAATCAGGACAAAAGTAACCTGCAAAGCCTCTGAATGCTGTCAAGTGAGCGATCTGTTTGCTGAACCAAGACAAGGACCTGATATTGCAAATAGTTTCAGGGATTTTCAAATAGTATATAGATATATGATGATGAAGGAGAGAGAGAGGATCTTACGGTTTTGATGAAGGGAGCAGTGCTTTTACCAGGCCTGACAAGAGGGATCGATGCACGTTGACTTTTTAGTTGTTCACTGACATCGTCCGGGTCAAGTTGCAGGAAAGTGTAGTAGTAGTTGAAAAAAGCTAAAGAGAAGTATACTAGTTGGAAGATAAAACGAACCTGCAAGTGTTTGTGTCTACGTCTCTGTAACAATGGCAAAACAGTTTCATTTGACAACAAAACTAGAGAAACTCACCTCCGGGGTTCAAACCATAAGCAACGTTTCTTCAGGGAAGATATGCCATGAAACGTGCTAGAGTAGCAGGAAGAGCAAGATATGATGTACTGAAGGATCTTATTTCGTACACCTTCTTTCTTCTGAAGGCGTTACAGCTTTGGGTAGACTTGGGCAAGAAGCTGAAACACAATCTATGCGTTGATGAAAGGGACAATATTGCTGAGAGAGAGCAGATTCCAAGTCTACCAATGCCTTCACCCGAGAATTTATCCAATCTGCTCATCAAGCTATTCTGATCCAAGTAGCCAACAAAAGCTTCTCGGTTTACTCGACCAAGTGGTACGTATGTGGTTGGGGAACAAAGTAATTCCTAATTTGTGGGTTGTGGACACGCTAACAGCATGTGTCCCATTCCACTAGGCCCAACAACGTCTATGGTCTTTCCTTGGCTGTTTTAGCAATTTGCACTAACGCCAAACTATTCACGTGCTGCTAAGCAAAACGCTACTCTTTCTCTTTTCTAAGCATAATATCAGTGAGCTTTTTGTGGTAATAGTACTCCTACCAGCTACCAGCCAGCCTCCTACATACATACAATCGTCATTTTCATTTACATGTCGCAACAACTTGCAACTGCGACCTATGACCAAATTGTTATTCGTTTTGTTGTGTTAAGTTTTTACGATTTGCTGTATGCGACTACCTTACGATATGCAACCAAATGTTATTTGTTTTGTTATCGCAAGTCACAGAAACGAACAACAATCAGCGACATAAACGAATATGGCCAATTTATCAAAAACCCACTAATGCCATGAACTAATGGATATCAAGAATGCAATAAAGTGTGTATTAACTCAAATCATATTCACCAAATAAAAGCACTAATGCAACTATTCGAAATATGCACGATCGGTTTTGGGTCAAGGCTGATGAAATATTCATTTATGATTTTTAAAATTTTTGAAAAAAATTACATGCACATATACCTCTAAATTTGTAAAAAAAAAAATCTTCAAATCAATGACTTTTTTTTTTAAAACTAATACCTTTATTAAATCATCTAAGACTCCCAATATTTTAGAGCTCGCCCTGAAATATGATAAATGACAAAAGATCTTATTCTAAAATACTCTTATATAATTAATTGTATTTGAAATGGTGTATCAAATATACCATGTCATTTAGTCATTTTAAAGACAGTGATAGAAACTGAAGCAAATCCTAGCCAAGTGTTCTTTTTTTTCTAACGTCTGCATCTTCTTATTAATGTAATCGAAAGTTTACATAATCTTTATGTAGAAGATTAGAGATTGAAACTGGAACATAGTTGTAAAAACAATAAGAAGACATTGCTGAATTTCGTGTTCTTGCTAATACATCAGCAGCTCTATTGGCTTCCCGATTTACCCACTGGAATGATATCTCTTGAAACTTTGCTGCCCACCAACGTATTTCCCTTTTCCAATTATAAAAAGAAAAATGAAGAGCCTTATCATTGAGGATGTCGATAGATTTTTTTACAATCGGACTCAGTGATGCTCTTTTTATAGCCAAATCTCCAAGATGTTTGTACTGCCATGAGCAAAGTTTGTACTCACTCTCCAAAGGCGATGAAACTATAAATCCCTGTGCCTGAACTGCTCTACAATAAACTCCTTTAGAATCTCGATATATCCATCCCGCTGAGGCTCTTTCTTGGTCATTACGGAAAGATGCATCCACATTACATTTAATAAGTTGCTCTGGAGGGGCTTTCCATTTAGCATTGCGTGCTCTACAAGAAGGCACTCTGGCATATTGGGACGTCTGATGTTCATTATTTTCAATATTCCTCCACTCTCTTGCATCACTTCTAGCATTATTCACAACATTCTTCCAGTGAATGTGTCGATGCTGAAATATTAATAAGTTCATGCTCTTCCAAATCCTCCAAAGAATCCATATAGGGAGATCTTGAAAGTGGTTAAACATGGCTGCAGTAGAAACTTGTAAACATGTTTCTATTTTTGCTTCAAATCTTGCAGTTGAACTATCAATAATCGCATTAACCACACCTGAGTCCCTCCATATCTTTTTAGCATACGGACATGTACAGAAAAGATGATCCTCTGTTTCTTCCTTCTGCCAATATCTCTTACACATTGTGTCTGTCGTTACATGTCGTCTTCTCAAATTATTCCCGTAGCAATACTTCTTGATGAGATTCTCCACATAAAATGTTTCAACTTTGTGGGTACCGTAGTCTTCCATATTTTTTGTTTCAAGTCGACACTTCCATAAGTTGGGGGTATGAAGTTGTTGTCTGGGAGATGAGATGCTAACCAGTAACCTGATTTAACCGTATAAAGGCCATTTTCATTATAATGCCAACCCATTAGGTCTTGTTCAGCTCTAGCTGAGATCCGTAAAGCCAAGATCATATCTACATCTTCCCCAACCACATCATCTCTAAGCTTAGCAACATTCCTTCCTGTTCTGGTATCGTTAAAATAGTCACAGACATTGGTTGAATTATTAGTCTCATGTCTTGGTCGGGGAGGTCTTGGAGTATGAACATTTAGCCATGAGTCTGTCCACATCTTTATTGTCGTACCATTTCCAATGATATATCTCATACCCTTAACTTCTCCTTTCCAAAGAGGATGGATTTCCACGCATAGGATGCTTTCCTCTTAAGAGTAGCTTGTAGTATATTCCCAACATGAAAATATCATGCTCTTAAAACTCTTGACATCAAGATGTGCGGGTTTTGTAGAATTCTCCAAACCATTTTCCCAAGAAGCGCCTGACTGAATAACTCTAAGTCACGGAAACCCAAACCACCTTCCTTTTTGGTATACATACTCTTTTCCAAGTATACCAGTGCATCCTCTTGGACTCTCCAGATTCCCACCAAAACCTTGCCAATATAGTGTTAATCTTCTCACATATTTCCTTAAGTAACACCTCTTTTCCTCCTTGTGTAAGGTGTCTCTGTTTCCATCCCTGTACCACCTTCTTGACCTTGTCAACAATGTATGCAAACATCTCTCCCTTTTTCGTTTTAAATTGCTCAGGCAAACCAAAGTATTTCCCAATGCCACCTTCATTATGAATACCAAGTACATTCCGCATTCTTGTCTTAACTTCTGCTTGCACTTTGCTTCCAAAAGTGATTGTAGACTTGTTAAGATTGATTGCTTGGCCTGAGACTGTTTCATATTTGGTGAAAATACGTTTCAGAGTTCTAGCCTATTTCAAATTAGCTAAGGAGAAGAATAAAGAATCATCTGCAAAGAGCAAATGATTAACTGCAGGTGCTTGTAATGATATCTTGACGCCAAGAAGATAACGATCATTCATGGCTTGTGTACAAAGGTGAGACAACACTTCAGCACAAAGAATAAAAAGATAAGAAGATAACGGATCTCCTTGTCTTAATCCTCTGTTTGGGGTGATATAACCTTCTAGTGTCCCATTTATCAAAACTGAATATGTACCCGAGGAGATACAAACCATTACCCACTGAATCCACCTATCTCCAAATCCCATATACTGCATTATTTTCTTTGAGAAATCTCCATTCAAGCTGATCATAAGCTTTTGTGATATCAGTTTTTACCGCCGTGTAGGAGTTAGATTGAATCCTAGCCAAGTGTTTAAAAACGAAAAAACTGAAGCAAAATTTTTTTTTCTGGAAAATTCGACATTCGACATTTTCTGGAAAAGATAAAAAACAAAAAGACAAGAAAATACAAACTGTCAACGAAGATTTGTATTGGTTGATTTAAAATTCAAAATCTTTTTTTTTTTCAAACTCAAATGTTGAATTCTGGGTTCGAACATTCCTCCTTATTCTCCAATCACAGGACGAAACACCGGCGAGAGTATAATGGATGCCCCCACGGAGACATTCGTGGCTTTAGAGACTAATGAAACGACGACATCAATGAGAGGCTGTGGACTCGCTACCCTGACGTGGGTGGGTGTGTAGACAAGGAGGAGCTTCGTCAGAGACTCATGATGCCTGAGTACATTCGTCTCGCCATGCGCGACTGTATCAAACGTAAAGATACAACCGCCATTCCCCACCATTTGCTTCTTCCCGGTGGCGCCGTGGCTGATATGGCTCCTCACGCGCCGATGGTTGTGTTTATAAACCCCAAGAGTGGTGGTCGTCATGGTCCTGTGCTTAAAGAGAGGCTTCAACAGTTGATGAGTGAAGAACAGGTTTTGTTTTGTTTTGGTTTGCTCTCTTTAAGTGTGCTTCTTGTTTGATTTGTAGTTAGAGCTTTTGTTATGAATCTCTCTGTTTCTTGTTAAGAAAAAACAAAAAGAATCAACCTTTTTTTGTTGGGTTTTTGTTTAGATTGTGAATGCAATTGGTCTCATTCTAAGGATTGGTTCAGTGTGCAGTAGGGATGGGTTTAGTGTTCTGTCTTGATCAGATCTTTTTTGTATTAGCTTCTCTGGTTTAAGTATTTACTTTATGTGTTCATGCCTAGTTGACGTTGTAACTGGTGGTTAGATAGGGAAAGTTGATATGAAATTTAACATATATCTACTTTATGGATTGGTTCAGTGTACAGTAGAGATGAGTTTGTGTTCTGTCTTCATATGATCTTTTGTATCAATTGGTGAAAGTATTAGATTCTCTGGTTTTTGTACTCATGCTCAGTTGATATTTAGATCATCTAGGGGTTAGGTAGGTGAAGTTGATTTTTTTGTTTGTTGTTGGAATGATGAGTTGACTTTAAAGATGACTCTATTCTGTATAAAAACAGGTGTTTGATCTGACGGAAGTGAATCCTAATGAGTTTGTTCGATATGGCTTGGCGTGTTTGGAGAAAGTTGCAGCGGAAGGAGATGAATGTGCAAAAGAATGCAGAGCAAGGTTGAGGATTATGGTGAGTACTACAAGCAATATTCATCCAATCTCATGCAGTTATCTTACATTTTTAGCAACTAGAGTGTGGTTGGATAGGTTGCGGGAGGTGATGGTATTGTTGGTTGGGTTCTTGGATGTCTTGGAGAGCTTAACAAAGAAGGGAAGTTACCAATCCCTCCTGTTGGCGTCATCCCTCTTGGTACAGGCAATGATCTCTCAAGGAGTTTTGGTTGGGTGAGTGAATGTTTCTTCTCTCTTATCTTGTCACGACAAGTCTCCCTAATACATTGTTTTTGTTCTCTTTACTTCAGGGTAGTTCGTTCCCTTTTGCGTGGAGAATTGCAGTTAAAAGAACGCTCCATCGCGCAAGTATGGGTCCAGTTGCTCGACTTGATAGGTAGAAACAGATTAGCCTTTTGTTAAGTTAATAAACCTGTGTTCACTTCTCTGGTTATGTATGGTGTTGCAGCTGGAAGATTCTAGTGTCAATGCCATCTGGAGAAGTGGTGAATTCTCCTTATTCTTTAAAACCAGCTGACGAAAACGAACTTGACGAGGTTTGGCTCTATACCCTTAGGCTTGGTTCTTCTCCTCATCATGGCTCATTCTTGTGGTTTTCAGGGCTTGGTAGACGTGCCTCTAGTGGCAAAGTCCTATGAAGGAGTGTTCTACAATTACTTAAGCATAGGTTTGATGAATGAGCTTATTCTCTGTTCTATATCCTAACACAAAATTAATATTTTGGACCTGTGTTTTTTTTTTTTTTTTTTTTTGTATCTTGTCGGGGTTTATATAGGTATGGATGCTCAAGTTGCATACGGCTTCCATAATCTTCGCAACACTAAACCATATCTTGCTCAAGGCCCTATCTCAAACAAGGTTTATTTTTCTAATTATCCTCAACCAAACTGTTGAATCAACAAAAAACAACATTAACCACGCAATGTTTGCTTTTGCAGCTTATTTATTCTGGCTTTAGTTGCACTCAGGGTTGGTTTTGCACCCACTGTGTCAGTGATCCTGGCTTAAGGTTCGCTATGTTCAAGTTAATCTCTGCCTAGCTTCTTGTTGTGTTACTGAAACTGTTTTTTTTTGGGTGCTTTTTGAATTTGCAGGGGACTTAGGAACATACTGAAGATCCACATCAAGAAGATTAATTTCTCTGAGTGGGAAGAGATAGCAGTCCCAAAAAAGTAAAGAAAAAAAAGAAACTGCTATCCTTTTACCATCTATGATCCTAATGCTTAACCTGATGCATAGGTTTCTCTTGTAGTGTGAGATCAGTTGTGGCATTGAATCTTGAAAGCTATGGAAGTGGAAGTCATCCCTGGGGTAATCTAAGACCGGACTATCTAGAGAAGGTATTCTTTCTTCTACTGTTTTCATTTCATCATCATTTGAACTCAAATCTCTTATGTTAACCCTTTTTTTGCTACAGAGAGGATTTGTGGAGGCTCATTGTGATGATGGTTTGATAGAAATCTTTGCTTTCAAGCACGGGTAGCATGCCTCATTTGTCATGACTGAACTCATCTCAGCCAAGCACATAGCTCAGGTAACTTATAAACGCACACACATAGCTATAGTGTTTTACTAACGAGCTTCTGTATTTTTTTTGGTAATCAATTCAAGGCTGCTGCGGTTAGATTTGAGCTAAGAGGAGGTGATTGGAAAGATGCGTTCTTGCAAATGGATGGAGAGCCATGGAAGCAGCCAATGAGCACTGATTACTCAACGTTTGTGGAGATTAAGAAAGTTCCTTTTCAATCTCTAATGATAAATGGTGTGTGATTGCTACTGGAAGCTGCATTCTTTGTAGAGAAAGCTAATTGTTTTTTTGTATTTGGATAGGTAGCTGCTCTGCTCTGCTTATTGTTATGGTTGGTTTTGTAAATCTTTGTGATGTGAGATAGGGCTGGGCAAAAAAACCGAACCCGAAAATCCAAACCGAACCCGACCCGATAAAAAGGAATCCGAACCGATCCGAACGCGACATAAGTACCGAATGGATCTTATTTTACGGTATTTCGGGTTATGGATATTACCCGAACCGAACCCGAACTTAAATGGATATCCGAAAGATCCCGAAACTTTAAAATTTCAAACAAACTTGTATCATATCCAATCTAAATTTCTAATATGTTTTCCAAAACAGATTAATATATTATTGAGTACCTACAATAATTAGTTAGGATATAAATAATTAACTCAAATATTTAGTCTAATATATAGTGTTATTTAGTTAATATTTATGTTTATGATTGACATTACTTTTGAAGTTAAGTTACGAATAAATTTGTTTTGAAGTTTATATAATATTTTTTTTAAAGTTTAAATAGTATTTCTTACGTTTATAGAATTGTTGTTAACTTTAAATTTTTATGTTTCATTATGTATAATATTTCGTTCATACAAGGTTTTGGTTTGTCATTAATCATGATATGTTTAGCATTGTCACATATAGTTCAACGACAAATCTTATATGGTTGATAGACGAGTTTCACAATATTATTTTGAAGGAGAACAATATGGTTTGTAGAAGCTAAATACACAAATTTAATAAAATGATTGAAAATATAGTGAGTTTAATTGAGTGAAAATTAGTATTTTTAGAACCGATAACCCGATTAGTATCCGAAACCGAAATTATTTTGGGTTCAACTGGATCTTGGACATGTTACTAAACCCGAACCGAACCCGACTAAACCCGAACCGAATCCGACCCGAATTTTTATAATATCCGAATGGGGTTGAAATTCATGAACCCGAAAACCCGAAACCCGATTGGGACCCCGATTGCCCAGCCCTAATGTGAGAAATGAAGTTTGTGATACTTATAAGATATGAGCTAAATCTTTTGGTAAATCTCAGTGCTTTCTCCGTTCTTTGTTTATTTTGAGATTTGAACACACACAACATCCTTAAATCTAATCAGCATTGTTATTGACTTGTAGGTACATTTGAGATTTTAAACGATACTAGGTAATTAATTACCCGTGCTATGCTGTGGACTGAATTAATACAGACTGACTTTTACTTGTAAATTTATTAATAATAAATTTATAAATTGTTTATTTAAAATAATCAATATTTTAATTATAGCGTTAAAATAAAAAAAATATTTGAAATTACTAAATCTTTGAAGATATTTTAATAAAGCATTTTATATTTTAAATATGTAAATGGTTTATAATCTTCAAACTGAGGCTGGTGATGAATACGTTATTGGACTGGTTGACGAAATATGTGACGGTTAGTTCATCTACAAGGAAATATTATGTTTCATTGATTGTATGAATTTTGTGCAAGGCATTTACCTCTTTTGTGAACCCAAACCATATTAGCCAAGAACTTCTTATCTTCAAATGCCAAAAACGATGTGACAAGTTCCTCTAATGAACTACATAAGAACTTCTTTTGTTTCTCCATTACCGAAAGCACATCTTTGAGCTTTAAAGCTCGGAAGTTAAAAAATGTCTAATACGCTGCACATTAAAATAATTCAAATGAAAAAGTAGCATTAGTCCCAATCAGTGAATATTTAGTCTTTTACTTCCTTTTAGATGAAAATCCCCAAGAACAACATCCACAACATTGATGGTTTTGTATGGTGCATCATATTTTTGTTAGGCCAAATTTATACCAACTTTGGGTTACCTTTCCCTCATGCTAAAAAGACAGATTACCAATACCAAAAACTGTAAAAGAATGCAGTTCCCACCATTGGAAAAATTAAAATCATCCACAAAAAAATCAATATGGATTACCTATGAAGAACCAGCAAAATCAATAAGGATTATCTATGAAGAACCAGCAACTTTTGTTTTCATTCAAATCCACAATGTGTAGGAATTCATATCAGTTTATAACGCTTTATAAAATAACCTATGAATTCTATTTGCCTAGAATCTCATGCAAATACTGAAATAAATCTAGATCTTTAGGGTTTTCGAATATACCTGGTTATCGCAGCGGAAAGATGAATAAAACAAATCAAGGTTTTTAGCACTCCAAACGTCGTGCCTCTATCGGTATCCACACGC